AGTTGCTACTACCACTACAGCCACAATTCACCCACCTGCAAAATCAGTGTTAGTTTAAAGCAACCTCCTTTCAAATCAGTTGTGCGGATTAACCAGGTCCCAACTTGGCCATGAAACCCAGGTTTCATAGTGTGAATGAGCATAACTACTCCCACCAGATCCCCTTTTCCTCACTGCTGTGTAAAATTTCCTCTGCTCTATGGGGAAATGTTTTTCAATGGTATATGAACTGAGACCTTATTTGCATAGTTGGTATTAGCTTCAGGGTATCTGCCTACCATTAGCTTGAATGACTGGAAGCTGGTGTGACCTATGAATCTTCTAAACAAAATGTCCTCCCACTTATTTCAAACTAGCTCTTGAAACAAAATAAAACAAAAATCAAGTCACCTGGACTTACCAGATTAACTAGAGGCCCTCCAGAGTTGCCATACTGTTAAAAATGATATAAGGGAAAAATAAATTGTTGTTTCATTGTAGGAAATGCAAATTTCATTTCAAACAGTATTTTGATTGAACTAAATGAAAGAGCAGGTCATTTCTAGGCAGCACTGAATATTGACCACAGAGGATTACAGGGCATGTACAGTTCTTCAGTAGTTTTATTCACCACTTTGGTTTGTAACACCATCAGTCTCTCTTACACTGTAGCAGAGAACACAGTGCTTTAGGTGTTTAATCACAGTGGACTGCTATGAGGTAGGTATTATGTAAGGACTGGTTTAGTAACCACAGACTTGTAGCCCTCTCTAGGAAGTACATATAGCAGCTCTGAGCAGTCTGAAATTGCCTAATACCCAATGGCCTTCAAAGGAAACATCCAACAGGACTACAGGAAATGGGAGTTGGAGAAGTTCCTTGACCATCTTCATGTTGGCTGAACAAGTTTGTTTTAGAGTGAGGCCAGTTTTCAAGTAGGTCTACTAAACAGCCAAGAGCAGCAACTTACCACTCAAAATAAACAAAAGCCAAGTGATGCATGACAGCAACATCAGCTATATAAACTGTTTACACTTTGATAGCACTGGGCAAACCTTATACATTCTCAGAAGAATAACACAGACATTAAAGTTTTGAAATCAGCTTCGAAGTTTGAGTTTAAACAAAAAATCCATTTCTTACATTGTATCTTTTCAGTCATCAGAGGATACACGCTTGATTTTTGTGTCTGACTGACATAGAGGAACCAAGATAATTTTTCAGCCTTCCTCAGCATATTATCTTTTATTCACTTGTCCTCTCCTTGATGGATGTGGCGATAAAAGAACTTCGGCAGGAGCAGTATAGCTCCATTTAGGAACGTATGGCCCTGTCTTCTTCTGCCCCATGTTCCCACTGTTCTAGCATTTCTCAGAAGGCAGCTGCATGCACATTCCTGCAGGAAAGTCTTGGCTGAGCCACAGGAATGCTCTGAATAGACCAGCTCTCAAACTCCTCCCATTCTCAGGAGAAAACGAGTGCATTAGCTAAGCACAAAGCATCCCTTTGCCAGGGACTATCTCCACACTTTTTTGTTCTCAGATGGCAAAGTAATTCAAATATATTGTCATTTTCCTTACCTCCTTTACTATCACTATTCCATTTGTTTAGCATTATCGGACACACTCTGCTATCCTTGTCTAAACTTGCTCATTAGCTTTTTATTGAGGGCAGTAAATGCCTAAGTATATGCAAGGATGTTTGATCTTGAGGAATGTGGATAGGCGTGAAGTCAAGAATCCCATGTTCTAATTCTGTCTCTGCCACCAATTCAATGTGTGCTCCCAAGTAACCCATTTTGCATAAGTTTTTCTATTTTCCTTTTACAGCTTAAGAAAGTAATTCTAATTAGATGTCTTAAGAGGTTCAGCTCCTGGATCATACAACAGCTTTTGAAAAAACTCACTTTTATACCATACCTTAGCACAAAAAGTAATTACTCCCTTTTTTTCTTTATAATTTCTCTCTACAAGTCTGTTAACACTAAGTACTTGTGAAACACTTTGTGTGTGTAAAACGCTAAATATTATGACTTGTTATGTCAAATTTGATATTGAAGTCCAGCAAATAAATGCTGAAAATATTTTCCTTTCAATGTATAACAGATTTAAGCCATAAAACTTCAGGCCATTTTCTACCTCACATATGCGTGCAGTGCTCTTTTTAGAATCACCACAAGTTATATACACACCCAAGGACTTTACTTAAGCTGTTTGGACTTCTCCAAGCTGCTGTGAAGGGATATAATTTTCATGTATTTCTATACAACGTGCAGTGCTAGGTCCCTTAACTCCAAGCTGTATCTCAAACTTTATGTTATTTTACATCTAGATTTTTACTTGTAGTATGTGATGTGCAAAAGGAAAACAAGTAATTAAATTGAAGCAGATACTATCAACTTGACTACTCCACATGGTTCTAGCGCACGGAGATGAAAGAAACGTTGGCTCTACTCTACAGCTTGCTTGGCCAGATCAACTGAACAAGCAGAGAGAGAAATGTGTTGATTTACTGCTGGTTTATACAACCATGTGTTGTATAGACAGGAGGAAATCAACACATTGTATACACTGTTGTATCGGCAGGAGATCTACAGAATGAGAAGGGTCTGTCATATGCAACATCTTTATAGACAACCTCAAAGAAGGCAGTTTTATTTAACATACCTTTCACAACACTAATGCCTGAACACAACTTACAGACACTGCATAGTCTTCTATAAAAAGCGTCTCTCACTGATTTTAAACAAAGCTGCTTTTATTTAGTGGATTCACCTTTCAGAGCACACACTTCCATGCTGAATACATGGGGATTTCAAGGTCCCAGGACTGTGAAGCTCATCTCCTCACATACCCAGTACTTACATTGATAATAGCATCTGTCTGAACGTAATCCATATCCGAGTCCCGCAGGCCAAGTTCTTTGCCATCTCGCTGAGCAGTGCTGACAATACCTGTTGTCACAGTGTTCTGTAAGGCAAACGGACTTCCAATTGCCACCACAAATTCTCCTGGCCTCAGATCAGCAGAGTGTCCCAGTAACAATACTGGTAGTTTTTTCTTGAATAAACACAGAAAGAAAGAAATAAGCATTAATTTATACCTGAAAATAACTTGATTGTAAAGATCAAAAACTAAAAAGAAGTTAAGAACATGTAATTTCCATTATATTAATGAAAGAGTCATGCACTATCATATACCTAAAACTTAATGCCAGGTGAAATTATTATACTGCAGAGTGTTACTGCTTTAAACTGTATTCAGAACCAAACTGCTAGCAGCAGGACCTTTCAATTTCATCCAGAAAAAAAAGCCATCAAGATTCTGAAAGAGATTTCCCCTTTTCCAGCAGATTGTTCCATCCTCCTCCTAGAAATAGCATACAAACCATATATTGACCAGCCTGCCACTCTCCCTACACTATGCACCATCTTGCAGTCCATGTATTGGCACAAAGCTAGAAGGACTAGCCAAAATGGCTTGGGCCTTCAGGTAAAGACAGCAGAATCTGGTCGTCTGTTAACTAAGCTGCATTTTTTTCTTCTTTTTTTAGCAGTTCCTAGCACAGAAGACAAAGTAATTTAATTCTAAGATATTAAAAACTTCCAGGCCCACAGAAACTGTGTGTTCAGTACATCACAGAATCATAGGGGTTGGAAGGGACCTCGGCAGATCATCTAGTCCAACCCCCCTGCTAAAGCAGGTTCCCTACAGGAAAGCATCCAGGTAGGTTTTGAACATCTCCAGAGATGGAGACTCCACAACCTCTCTGGGCAGCCTATTCCAGTGCTCCGTCACACATCGTTTTCCCCAGATATATTTCCAAGGAATCCTTGAATGTATATTCCAGCCAATCACTCTGTGCTGAATGAAACTGAAATAGGGTTCCCAAATTAATTAATTCATCTGTTTATGCCACTCACCTTAGGGTGAATCTTTATTGTTGCAATGTCAGATTTCTTGTCAATGTCTCTGATAGTTGCTTCATAGGTATCTCCATTCTGTAGCTGCACTTTCAATTGTTGTCTCCCTGATATAGCATTGGTGCTTGACACCACGTGGGCATTGGTCACAATTAAACCAGAATCAGACATAATAAACCCAGATCCACTGGAAAGTGGGACATTTCGACCAAACAGAGGGTGCCTGTACAAAAAGCAAATAATTATTAAGGGAAACATAACTTAGAGAAGATTACATTAGAAATCATTTACCACCTCTCATCCTGAGAAATAACAAAGCATTTGATGACCAATGTTACAACCCTGAGAAAAATTAAATTTAAAAACCGACAAAGAATGGATCCTTTTCTGAAAAATGTGATTGCTTTTAGTCAGCCAGGGAAATGGGAACTAAGGTTTTCAGACAACCTGCAGCTTTATTTTCCTTTGGTTTCTAATTCTATCTTTACAGAGGCTAGGTGACAAAATGAGAAGGAGGAGGAGCTCATCTCATCTAACCGGTTGCTGCTTCTATATAGGAAGAAAATGACAGGAAATAGTAAGGCTGACAAATGGACTGATCCTGTAACGAGAAAAAAGGAAGAAGGAGGAACCTTGCAGCCTCACAGAGGAGTAAAGGAGGAGGTGACATCTCAAGGAATCATGAAGCCCAATTGTAGACTGGCAGGAAAAAGCATGTCTGGAAACTGAAAGGACTGTGGGAATGGGACAGAAAATAAATCAAAAACACAATAGGTAAAACTTGTTGGGAAACAACACTTGCTGCAATATAGATAGTTAAAAGACTTTATAAACTGTGTAAAGTATTACAGCTTTTCTCTATGAACAATTGCTGTAATCACCTTAGATTTGTAAGGGGAACAGAAAGTGCCTGGGCAGTAGAAGATGAGAAAAGGTCCACAAATTCTTCTTTCTTCCAAAACGTGGTCCTTATTAGGAAATTGAAAGTTCTGAGCTATTCAGCAGTAAAGAATTGGAGCCAATCCCAGGAAGAAGGCAGTATCACAATTAATGCCCAGCAGGCTGCTGGACAAACATTTACTTACAGGGAAAGAACAATCTTAACTACATATACAAAGATTTTAAACATCTTCCAACTTAAACATTCTCTCAAAAGACCAATCACCACGTGCGTAAAGCTATGTCTTAGAAAACATTATTATCTCGATTTTGCATATTAAAAAAGCCTATAAAAATTCTCCAAGAAATTCTTAAGCCTATGCAAAATTAGAGTACTCCAAGCAGAAAGGTATTGAAGTAATGGAGTACATATAATATTTGCAGTAATTTGTTCTGACAGCAGGTTGGTTTGAGCACTCAATGTTAAACCTGCCTCCCAGGTTGTTTAGAGCACTCAATGTTAAACTTGCTGCCTCAGCTCCAGCTTCAGTACACTAAGTATTAGTATGTTCTGGTCAGCAAATTTAGTACATTTTTTTCCCTATCAGAAATCATTTTTTTGTTTAGATAGGTCACATCTGGTCAACGTGCTAACTCTTAATGTTCTCCCTGTCAAAATAAAATCTCCTCTCATTGAAAGTGGAATAGGCAACAAGGAGCTATGTTTTTCCAGCTTACCTTCTGGACTTGGGTTTTTTGGTGTTTTTTTTTTTAGACTGAGATAATAAACATAATCCAACAAGAAACAAATTTTAGTGAAGATGAGATAAACTTATTTTATGGCAGACATATGTATTGTAAAGTACTGTAAAGACTATAAGCCAAACAAAATAGATCTACTAAATGGGAACAAAACACAGAAATGGTTTTCCGGATAAATGAGTCTGCTGTAATGTTCCAGAGTATTTTGTGAACTTCAAGAATTCAAAATTAAAGTTGGAAAATCTTTGCAGACCTTTGTTAAACAATACAATTAAAATACAAAGAATTGTAAGTTGTTACCTGAGGAAAAGTTCAATGTGCACAACCGCAGGTGCAATCTTTTCTACCACATCTGCTATGAAGTTGAATTTGTATCTTGGGCTGCTGGACTGTAGGTGACCTATACTAGCAGAAAGAATTGGATATGTTAATAAGACAACACCCTTTTTTACCAAGTAGGTGAGATAAATATGCTTTGAATTGGTCTGTTTGTCCTGCTGGGATAGCTTCCAAATGTGTATTGGAAAAGGAATCAAAGTCTTTAAGTGTTCAAAACTTATCCAGTATGCTTGATCCTGAGAAAATTAAACATCAGCATCACTTCACTATAAGTTATTTGACTTTCTTGGAAGTCTACAAGCCTTGTCTGAAGTATTTTTCTCAGGATATCTACTAATTATTATGCAAAACACATAGGGTCATAGGATAAGTCAGCTTGGAAGGGACCTCAGGAAGTCTCTAGTTCAGTCTCCTGCTCAAAGCTGGGTCAGCTACAAAGGCAGAGCAGGTTGTTCAAAGGCTCTGTCCAGTTGCGACTTGCAAACCTCCAAGAATGGGGACTCCAGAAGCTCTCTGGGCAGCTTGTTCCACTACTTCACTGTCCTCCATGAAGTAAAAGTTTTTGTCGTATCTAGTCTCTTGTTGAAACCCATGTTTCAACTCATGCCCACTGTCTCCCATCCTCCTGTTATGCACCACTGTAAAGAGCCTGGCTCCACCTTTCTGGTGTCTTCCCCATGAGTACAGGAAGCCTGCTCTCAGGTCCTCCTGAATCTCTCTTTTCTCCAGGCTGAACAAGCCCAGTCCCTCAGCTTCTTCTCACAGGAGATATGTCCAGCCCTCCCAACTATCCTCATGACCCCCTCCAGAACCCACTCCAGTTTGTGAGTTTCTTGTATTGAGGGGTCCCAAACTGGACGCAGTATTCTAGAGGTGGCCTAACAAGTGCTGACTAATATAGTTGCAGTATTTGGGAACTGCATTTAGAACTCAAGTTAGGACTTTTTGAAGTAGACATTAGAAACCTGCTGCAAACTATAACTTTGGAACCTAAAAAGTTTTACAAATTCACATTTAAGTTGTCACAAGCAGCTGGGCATAGCAATAGATTGCTAAATACTAAGTGTTCTGATGAAAGCCAGTGCAGTCCTACGTTAAACAGCACTATACACAGCATTTACAAATACTGGATATAATTCTGTGGAATGAAGATCTTTGAAGAGAGAGAAAAAAGCCCACAGCATCCTGGTTTCTAATGTGACAACATCCTGGCTCCTCATATCACAACATCACAAAGTAATAATACTGCTTATGCTAGAATGTCATAGTTATCAGCAATTCCTAATACATGGGGACATATCACCACATGTTAAACATATGCTAGGGGACATATCACCACACTCAAATAACAATCTTTCATGTTCACAGCCTGATGCTTTCAACTTAACTACAAGATCTAGGGAAGGGAGCAAACCAGCTGTAATGAAATACAGCAATAACATTTTTGGCTTTCTGTTTATCTCAGGAAATATATTTATCTTTCTGCCACTTAGTCAGCAGGGATAAACAATATCAACTCTTCAGAAGTGATGCTTTGCACCATCATGATTTGCTTTAACTTCAACTCATGCTGAAGGATGAACTTACTCCACAAGAGCTCTTGTGTACCAAGTCAACACCTGGCTTTAAGGGTTCTAGATCTTCCCTTTTCTAGATCACATAACATAGTAATGAGCCCAGATACATATTCTGTTTTCTGAAAGTATATACTTTTCTTTCATCAGTTGTCCTTTACCCAAGTCTTTAAAAGGAAGGTGGGTAGAAGCCATCACACAAAAAGGAAAGATACACAGTAAAGAAAGGAGAGAGAAGTTTAAGAGAGAGGTAATGCATTTTGGTATTCTGTGTAGTTCTTAATTCAAAGACCATTTTCACCAATCCTTGTCTACAGATGTTTTACTGACCATTAAACTGTGTAACTTGTAAATTACTTGGGATGAATATGAAGATTACAGCACAATGGAGTCTGATCTAGTTACAAAAAAGATGCTTCAGTGTTCTATTCTATTCTTTGAATGACTTTGTAAGCTAGTGGGTGACAGAGAACTAGTTGTTATAGTTCCTGTAGTGTCTCTGAAGCTTTCACAATAAAGTGTTAAAGGCCCTATAAGGTCAGAAAGTGAGAGGCCTTACATTACCACAGTATTCAAAAGACCTGAAGCAAAGACAGGAACTTATGAAATGGACGCAACACTGGTACCAAAGAAGAAAGTATTGAAGAAAGCAGATCAAGACAATTAGGCATTTCTCCATACAAGTCCATGAGTTCTCTTTCCTGTTACTGGACATAGGATTTACTTCTGAGGGGAAAGAAACCATGCTTACATTTAGCAAGCTAAATGTATATGTTATGGTATAAACAGAAGGAACAACTTGGCAGGACTAGATTCAGTATATTATTTTTATGCACATTCTCACGCACTCCAAAAAATCCCTTTAATCAGTTGAATATGCTTGTTTCAGTACTTAGTTTAAAAGAGACACTGCAAACAGGAATCACAGAGGACAGTCAGATGTAAGCACAATACACCTATTTATTTTGCTTACTGGGCCACTGAAGATCATCTTACCTTCAGTTCACAAGCAGTTTGCCTGATTATCCAGTATATCCTTTACAGTCTACTAACATGACTTTGAATGCTTGCACACACAGCAGTGTTCACTGATGATAATACTATCATCACATTTATCTTCATAGAAGTGACTATGCATCTATGAAGGACAGTTGGCTAGACCCTCAGATGATGAACTAGAAGAGAATCAGTGGGCAAAAGCATGGTGAATGCAGGCTTTCAGTTGGTGTAAATCAGCACAGCTCTATGTGAGACAGGGCAACTAAATCCCTTTGCATCTGCTGAGTGCTGAACTGTCCTGCCCATGCCAAACTGTCACAGCATTGCACATGGACAAAAGCAGAGGAGGACGCCTGCCAAAGAACTCTGTTTTGCACCACTCCGGAGTAGCCACCAGAGAAACATCATGGGTGGCAGTGACTTTCCAGGTAAGATTTGACGTAGGTAGAGTGAAAAAGTCTGAAAGAGGTAGAAGGTGAATGTAAACATGGAAAGAGACAAAGAAAATAAAATGCAGCAATACAGAGAGGAGACTATAAAACTGAAGCATAGCTTGTCTTCTTTCCATACCATAGTGAAAGCATTTCTCAGTCTGAGCATAAGTCTAGAATCTCACTGCTGGGGTTAGAAGACAAGAATACCCAAACCTGAAGGTGCATCCAAATCTGCACTATATATTAAGGGAAAATTTGAAACAAAGGAGGATCAAGAATAAGAGACATGCAAACTTTGTAAGAAAGGTGTAGCTGAAGATTTACTGGTTTGATTAGAGATGAGCTATTCTTCATAGTGTCTGGTGGGGACTAAATACTGTTGAAAACTAACTTACAAAGTTGAGGTGCCTTCATAGAAACTGATGTCTCTTGAATCATTCTCTGCAAGCTGGGTGTGATAAGAACCTTTAAACACATTATATGACTTCCCAATAACTCAAACTATCGACTTGGAAGATGTAACTGCAAACTAACATTTACTCTCACAAATACAGCCCTATTAAAGCTAACTGAAATGTTAGTTATTATTAATAAACATTTTAATGCACAATTATTAAACTGTTGGTTTTTGTCAGAAGTTCTCAATATAATTTAAAAGGGAGGAACTGCAGCCTGAGAAACTGAAGAAGGAAGCAACATCCAAAATTGTATAAGTTGTATAAGGTCCCCCTGAAAACAAGTGTTATAACTGTAGCAGCAGAATGAGGGCTTCATGGCAGACCTTGAATCTACCCTTTAATTGGCATTAGTCAGCAGACATTAGCTGTTGCTACTGTTCTTACTAAAACATAAAATTAAACACGTGTATTTTTCTTTCTTGCTTCCCCCCCTGACGGACACTTTTGCTGTCTTGCAGTCTCACACTTCTCTCAGACCTCTGCTGGAGTGTGAGTGTAAAAGCTCGGAGTTTACAGCAGCTTTGTGTATTTTGACCTATTGACCTACTGAGATTTGCCACGTACTTTTTCAAAGGTCTCTCAACAACATCCATCATTTTCCATGTTATTACTGTGTGTTCAACATAACCCCACACTAACCAAAGCTAATTTATCTTGGAAAAGAGCCATAATTTAATCCAATTAACTATCTGTTGCATAATCAAGATATCAAAGGTGCTGCAACCAGATTGTACTTGAAGTAAAAACAAATTTATACTGTATGAGTCTTTAGCTGCCTACATACTTCTTAATCAAAAGAACTAGATTTTCCCAATCTGTTCCATAGCCACAAACTAGATTTCCAGCAGATCTGAACTCACATCCTACCATTTAAATTCAGTGATTAGATCTTCAGAAACTCTCCAGGTCCTCTCACAGAACACTCAAAATCCAGATTTGGATGTAAGTGCATAAACTGGAGTTAAAGATGTTCACACTGTTTTGTAAGATTTGATCTTACATTTCCAGTTCTATGGGCTCCTACTACACTGAAGTGCCTGTCAAGTAGGAGTATCCTTATTATCAGCTTAATATTTTTCCAGTATAGTAGTGTTATCTACAGGCTATGAGTTCATTTAATAGCGTTGTATTTACTTTTTTGCAGAGACAATAGACCCACTCCAATCTCATTAATACTGCTGTAAATCAGCAACAAATTTGTAGAGTTAACCTAGTACCAAGAGAGCTGAAAAAAAAATTAGCAGAAATAAATTGTCCCACTGAAGACAACAAAGCTACAAAGCTAAGCCCATTTACACTTGCAGAAGACTGAAACTTTCTGAGTATCTGCCAGCTTACTCCCTGTAGTATCAAATCAATTCACGTTCAATGCTTTCTTAAATATATTACATTGTATTGCAATTTTATATTCATTAAGAATTTGTGAGCCTGGGAAACTCATTCTTTGAAGGCTGTTCCCCTGCCCGCTTTTAAAACCAGCTTCAGCAAAGATCTGTATGTTCAGCAAAATTATTATGTCTAAGGGAGGACTGCAACCTGGCAGATCTGATCACCAGGGATAAACACGGTCCCTACTGTGCTTTCATGGAAAGAAATGAAAGACAAATAAAAGATTATAATGTCTCTGCTTAAAAAACAGAAACATCTGCTGGAAACATAGGTTCATGGGCAGCTTTTCTGATGAATTCAGCATTAAGATCAAGTTGCATAGCTGTGCACTGACCATAAAGCCTTGGTGAGTTTAATGCCACATTATGGTTCAGGCAACTTGTTTATACAATGGATATCTACCGTGCACAGATGAAAACAATTTGGTGAACCAACACCAAAGTGGCTTTTTTGTGCAGTGCAGCAATCACAATGGCCAGACAGAGACAGACTGGCATGAGCCTTCCAGGCACAGACACCTCACTGCCTCGCTAACTTGAGATGCTAGTTACATCTCCTTCCCAAGTGACTTTCATAAGGAGACAAAATGAGAACATCTCTTTCCTGTTAGCTATCCTATACAAAGCAGTTAAATACTACACTCTAAATATTTACCAAACACTGTACAATATTCAACCTCACCTGCAGAAACTCAAAACAAATTCAGACATAAGAATTTCAGCAGTAAAGGAATGCGACTAGAATTTGCCTGTCCAGCCAATACCTTGTGATGCATTTCCCCAAATACAGCTGGTGGCAGCTGTAAGGTTTTGATGACAATACTAGTAGGAGACTTCAGTTAATCTCATACTGGGCTAGTTTCTCAGAAATGCAATATGCTCTGTCATTCCTCTGTATCTTCAGGGTTATGTACAGGCACACTCCAAACACCCCACACAGAACTGTGTGCAATGACTCTGCTCATACATTAGTTGTATTACAAATGTTTCTTTTAGGGAACTGAACTTTTAGGCTCCTACCTTGCAAAGACTAGACTGACATGGGTGAGGCTTTACATCATGACCACTTTCTGAGAGTGACTTCAGTTAACCAATGCAGAGGACAAACATTCTCAGGCAGAATCCTTCAAAGTATCAGTGTCAAAGCCAACACACTTGTTTTCTGGAACTTCTTTCCTCAGAGGTTTTCTAATCAAACTTTCAGTTTTCCTTGTTGCACAGTCAAAATAGCACCCTTATTAAAATAAATAAATGAATAAATAAATTGCTTCCACATCCTAGGTGAGAAAATAAAAATCTTTTGACATCTGAACTGTCTTCACATAAGCCATTAGTAAAAGAACATTGCAGGGAATTATTAACTCTACTAAGAAAGTTGTACTGAGAGATCATAAACAGCCCTTCGTGCAAGAAAGTCTGACAAAAGTTTCCCATAGATTGCAGGTGACCTTGTGAATCCTTTGAGTGAGGAATCTGACACTTCAGTAGATTGAGAAGTGACATTGTTAAATTTGCTGCAGTGAAAAACAAGGCTCTTGAAGAACAGGTCTTTGATTAAAGAGGTTGTCTTCCATATATGCCACTACTTACACACTAGCCTGTAATAGCTTCTCTTTACCACAGTAGGTGACAGAAGGCAGGAAAAAGCTAGCAGCTTCAGAAAATTCCCATATATTAAGGTATGCAGTATTGAAGAGGAAAAATACTAATATTTGTAGCATATAGTTTAAATTTGCCTAGGAGTTCTGCAGATTGCTCTTATTAGAATTTCAGAAAAGTCCATGACCCTGTTCAGATGCATAAGGCTAACTGTTTGAGTAACAGTTTTCAGGGTATAAGCATACTGAAGAACAGCACTTGTATCTCCATGCAGTACACACCTCCTTTAGTACACTGTATCCAAAACCTGCAATTTGCCATGGTGTTCTTCAAGCTGATCCTGGCCTTCAACAAGGAAAAAAATATTTTAAATTCTGTCAGTTTTGGAATTATCACTCAGTCAACCTGGGCATCTCTTTCCTCCCTTCCTGTCTGCCTCCTTTACTATTCCTTTTTCAGGTATCCTCATTCACCAGACTTCCGTCACCAGGAAACCAGCTAAGTTTTCTCAGCCCACCTTGGTTTATGACAGCCAGAATCTAACTTAGCATCTACATAAGCAACTGGAAATGGAGAGGAGTGGACACTTCAAAAGCTGCTCTTCAAGGTCACTGCATGTTCTGAAAATGGCCTAAGTCACACTAGGTAAGGTTACCATTATCTGACATTGTTTTAATATATGTATGGTTAAGTAAAACTGGATTTTCTTCATAGCTAGCTTAGCCCTTCAAACTCTGAGTCATCTGAGGCCAGATTTCTTTCAAGAACAGGGAAAACAGAGAAACTCAACAGTAATTTTAAACTGTCGACTTTCTTCTAAACCTCTCATTACAGCCATTGCATGTTATTGTTTAAAAAAAATTAAAAAAAATACCATAATTGAGTTCTATTCCTGGCTCAACCACCAACTCAGTCTGACCTTGGGCAAGACACTCGGTTTCTTTGAGCTTCAGTTTGTGCAGCTGTAGAATTGAATAAAAAAAAATTTAGAACTTAACAGAGAACCAGATGCTTCATCTAAGCCGAGGCTTTCTGGGACAAAAAACAAAGCCAAAATAAAGTGAACACTTAACTAGTTGCTGAAAAAAATAAAAATAAAAAAATGTTGCCTCTACCTCAGAGCTCCAAATTCCTCAGCCTATTAATAGTAGATTCAGAAGGATTCCTTAAAGAAAATATATACCAAACACATATACCAAACCCCAAGCACTCAGTAAGCCCTTAGATGCAGGCTAGCTCACTCATTTTGGTTAAACACTGATTATTCCACATGGATCAGTTCCAACCAAGTATTAGGAGTACTACAGCTAATGGATGCTGATGTGAAAAGGAACAGGCAAACAGCAATTTATAACTACAGAATACTGGAGAGATTGACCATTGCCCCTGGAGGTTGGCATCTGGAGCAATTCTTGGCTCTGACAAGATACTCCTAATGGAACTCCAGGAATATCATTTCACCTCCTCCCTCTCTACACCAGTTTACCTTCTCTCACCAGCTTGACACATGAAAGGTCCCCTGTTCACAAAATGGTTACAATAGTAGCCCTTTTCCCTTTGACCTTTTCCAATAATTTTGGCAAGTTTTCTATCTGTGAATAAACAGGATGGCTAGTGGTTCACCTGACATAATAGAAACACTAATGTATGATTTAAAACTCCATTACATATATGATTTTTTCTTTCCAGGAACTCTATAAGAAAAGTAGAAGAAAACCCTTAAAGTAATGTATCAGTAAGTATGTGAAAAGATACTAGCAGCATTAACACTTCTATAAAAGTGACTTATTTTAATACTAAAAAAAAATTTACCAACTTAAGTGATTACTAAACTTTCTGAAGTTAAACATTTAAGTCTGAAGTTGCTATAGATTATCACAATATCCAAACAAAGGCCTTAGTACATTACTGCAAACAGAAGACCATTTGATATCCTGAGTGTCAACATTTTAAACTGTAAAGGAGGTTCACAGGCAATTTTTGCCGCTTTAGACTCTACAAGACTACAAAAATTCTTGTGAAAAGAAAACAAATCAGGCAAAAGACTATCTTTTAGGTGTTTTATATACTACTTAGTGCATTTTCTGCCCTGTTTGAGCTACCTGGCTTTAAGAGGCATTTTCTGCCAGGAGATGTCTGTCAGGTGAATTCAATCAGCCTCCCACACACCATCAGGGAAGGCCCCAGAGCAGAAGTGTTCCTGGGTCCCCACTCTGTTCGAGGAGGCCACGGTGCAGTGGATCTGCAGCACAGCCTGCACAGGTGATGCCACCGAAACGCCTCAGAAGTGAGTGTAGACACTATGAAACGAACGTGGCGTTGGCAGGATGACAGCAAGCTTGTACTGCTGTCCTGCCAGTGCATCCTGCCTTGAGAGGGGCTGACAGCTGAGGATGTAAGGGCTGCCCTGCCCCGACAGCCTGACACCCTCCACCGAGCTGGCTTCCACGCTGTCACTTGCACTCGCCCCCTGCTCATGGGAGCGCTGCAGCAGCGACATGCACAATGCTGAGGTGGCCACGGCCACGCTACTGAGGGAAAACCTTCCCAAACCTCATCCCCAGGCCTCCAGCCCACACTAAGGATCAAGGAGGATTTTTGCTCTTCAGGAAAGACCTGAGCACCTCTTCCCCACTCCACAGCGATGGCTGGCAGCCAGGCGAGGTGCCTTGACTTGGTAGCCTTGTACAGTCCCCGGAGCCACCCAGTCATCCCAGGTCACTGAAAATCATGATTTTTCTTTGCCTGGAAACCAGCACGCCCCTGTGCTGTCCACCCGCCACCCTCTGCCCCTCGGGCAGGCCCCATCATGCTCCTACCCGATTCACAGGCTCCCTTCTGGACCCGGTTTTGCAGGCCCCATCAGGCCCCTACCCGATTCACAGGCTCCCTTCTGGACCTGGGCGACGGCGGGCAGGCCGTGCTGCAGCGCCTTGCGGCTCACCGCCTTCAGCTGGCAGATGTTGTCGTAGGTCCGGCCGTCGCTGCCGCACACCTGGGCGCTGAGCTTGCACTGGCAGACCCCCTTGGCGAAGCGCTTGCCCATGGGGTAGCGGCAGTCGAGGCTGTCCCCGCAGG